ATCTTCAGTCCAGGGACTCTCGAGGTAGCCTAGCTGGCGTTCGCAGGCCGAAGTCCCTTTCCTTATTTCAGTTTGTTTTCATTGTATCGAAACAGATATGTGTATTTCTTTCATTCAGACTTGTTGTAGTATTCTATAGTAGTCCGTGAGCTAGTGACACCAGATTTTGGGTAGGGATGTGTTTCAAACTTCCGCATTTTTATATCTTTTGTTAAACTTAAAGTCTTCCGCATTTCTTTAACTGTTGTTAGTATATTATATTGTTGAGGTTGAATAGCGAATGTTTAATGTATGGCTGGCCTAGCTCCGTTAGTAGGCGCCATCACGACGCCCGATGGGGGGAAAAATCCGGGTCGTGACATTGCCCTACAAAAAGATGAAAAAGTAAAAGCATCACCAGCGTATGTAAGTTGTAACAAACATACCTTCTGATAAAATTGCAACTGAACGGTTAAATGTATTTTAGAAAATGGTAAATGCATTATTATAACTTGATTCTATGCCTACGTATATTATGTGTTTGTTCTCCATGCCCTCCAAAGTGGAAAAAGAAATAGACAAGTTGAGAAGGGTTTTCTTAAGGCAAGGAAACGTACAAAGATTCAGACTTCTCCTTAATGGATCTCATACTCTGTTAAATTCCTTGCTATATTGAAATCTCTCAAGACCATATCTCTGGACGCCCATGCACTGAACCATTTAATTTGGGGCATTTAAGAGCTTCATTCCCTTCAACATATTAGTTTAGGATGTAGCAAAGACGTGCAAGTTTAAATCCTTAACTTCACTCACCATATAAAGTGTCTGTGAAATTTTCCCGTATGCTTAAGTCAGACTAAATTTGCTGATAAACTGCTTTAGTTCAGACTGTAAGGGGGAGGGGGGGGGGCGCTCAACCTAATACGTAGAAGACCTTAAGATTTTCTAAGCAGCATAAAACCTTTACAGTATATGAAAATAGCTGAATAGCAAATTACAGAGACAAACATGATATTTCCAAGGCAAATGTAAATCAAAATCATCATCCACATTTACCTCTACCACCATAGACAAGCAATCTTTTCTCGACCATAGTAGAGGTATGGCCACATCTAGGTGGCGGTAAAGTTCCCAAAACAGATAAATCCCTCCACTCAAGAGACACTATTCAAAAATCATACCAATTGTTATGGATAAATTGTTACCTAACACAGGGAAAGGATAGAGAAAACCTAGAGTTGCTATCAAAGACAATACTTGTGTTCAAGATATAGACATATGACAACCACTTTTTACCATCCCAGCCACCATACCTGCATGCAAATCAATGCCAAAAAATAATGAAAGAAGGATAAGACATAAGCACCAGCAGAATGTAAGACAAACTTACATAACAATTTTACTGTTTCCAATGGCTGAAGCAGCTGCGAAATCCCTTGCAGAAGGTAAGTCACCAAAACTTGTCAACTCTGACCATTGCCATATATCTAGCACCGCAGAGATAAAAAAATCAAGACCCAAGTCTGATGACTGTGAAATATACTTTCTTAACATGGTTTGCAGCTTAGAACGCCATACTAACAGCGGATAACTAGCGGGGAGGAGTCGGGCACTAGTTAATTTGTGTTGTTTCTGCCAGGCAAACACTGATCAGTGAGAATGTGGATTTTATACGGCTTAGAGGAATCTTTACTCGGATAGCATACTCTGTTTTTCATACCCCTCTACTGAGAGCTGTTGAGGAAACTTCGGAGCGCTGGAGGTAAAGGAAGATGGACACTGGGAAGGAGCTGAAGGGTGATCCTTTATGCATCTTCTGGTTGATTTGAGAGAGAAAGGAATTCTTCTGAAGGAGTTGAAAATCCATTATGGATGATTAACAACTCCTTGTTGATCATTACTATATTTTAGGCATAAGTGCTATCCAATATTGTATAATTGGAAGGAGGTTTGATGTAAACCTGCACTGCAACTTGGTGTAATATCAATGAGATTATTGTGAACTTTTCACAAATGTCCAATGATAGTGAAAACATGAAATAGAAAATAATGATGCATTTTTCTTTGCATAACAGCTCACATAGCCAAGGTAGAAAGAAATCCTTACCAGTATCCAGAACCCAAAAATCGCCTAATCTGAAAAGAGGATACCCAATTAAAGGCATTGGCAGAAGCAACAATTATAATACACAAAACATGAGTTATGTAGCATCTGCATACCTTCTACTGCCAGATCTCCCACCAAAGATGAACATATGACAGTCAATTGATACAGCAACGTGGAATGCTCGTGGGTTGGGACCCACTTGGCCATCAGAACCACTGCTTGTGCACTCTGGCTGAAACCACAATTTGTTTTCTGAAACATTAACAACATGATATGAATTTAAAATATAAAAACGACTGATTGATTCAATACAAAGCAACCACATTGGCTTCCAAAAACTGTATTATGCAATGTCACAGACGAAATATCAACAGAAGACGCCTCAATCCCAAAATAGTTTTCATTGGCCATATGAATATTTTACATATCTGTTCCGCTCCATCCGGCCTATTTCATTGAAGT